GATCACCTCCAACTATGCAATCCAGGTAGCACAATGGGAAAGAGCAAAGATGTAACATTCTCCTTTAACAAATGTCTTGAAGGTCACCATCTAACCAGAGCATACATTGCTGTAATTCATACATATGCTCCTTTTCAGAGAACCAATTAACAAACTAGAGAAAAATTGGGTTAGATTTTTGTGTTCCATATGCAACTGGAAATGGAAAACACCATTTTTTCTAGCAATTCTTGTTCTACACTATAAACTCAAATGCACTTATTCTGGCTACCTTTTCTTCTCTAAAACATGCTAGCATAGAAACAGTAAGTGAAGCAAGTATAAAATAATAGAATAAGAAAGTGTCACAAATTGAGAACTGGAGCTGAGCAGAACATGAAACTTGATGGTTCAGCTTTTGCTTTTCTGTTTGTTTGGGGTTTTTTATTATTATTCCTGATGTTTATATCCCCCAAAATAAAAAACAAACAAGCAAAAAGAAAGTTTTCTCACCCAGAGTCCCCACAAAACACACACTGCTGGGATCCCATGATGATGTCACCTATAAGGAGTATTATTCCCTTATCCTCTGTCACCACTAACTATCCCAGCCACTGTGTTTACCATGACCACCTAGATATCCAGGGGATGCATATGGTCCATGCACTGTAAATCATTGCTCTCTGAGCCAGGGAAGCCTGAGACCTTCCTCCCATCAGCAAGCATGGACATCAGTGTTATGGGGGTAAACATCTCCATTGTGGCCAGCAGTGGGTACTTAATTTATTAACTAACAACAACAACAAATTATACACTTATATCATACACATCTCACACATTTGTAGAGCCCTGTGGTTGTGCTTGCCCCTCATGGCTCTAGGCTGACCTCTAAATCCTGCAGGAAGCTATGGCCAGCACACAGAAGCAGACTGCAGACCTTCAGCCTTCTTAACACCTCCCACATGCAGAGTGGTGCCGGCTCCCCAGCTCCCCAAACTGTTCAGAGGGGATCAGGTGGGGATATGGTGATTTATCAGCCAGATGCAGCTAATCATCACTGCCTACTCAGGGACTTATCCGGCAGGCATTAGCTGTTCAGCAGTTTTAATACCCTGGCTCTTACCAACAGCCTCTGGCTGTGTCACTCCTCATATGGACCACCACGACCAGAACGCTGCTGCACCACCCTGATGATTTATTCATCACTTTGGAGCTGGTTTAGGGGAGGGGACACAATTGCTCAGCTGTGCCAAGGCTGCTGCTGGAGTCCTGGCAGGGGCTCAGCTGGCTGCTGACAGGCACAACTCAGTTTACGAGCTTGGCTGCAGAAACCACATAGGAAAAACAAGCCCTTACTGTCCACCAAAGGTTAGGGCTGACCAAGGCCATCAAAGAGGAGCTGGCCAGGGCTGGCCTGCCCAGCCCCAGATGTCATTCTGGAGAGGCCCCGACTCCATGCCGCAGAGAGTGTACCCATGTGCTTGCAGGAGCTCAGCTACATTTTGCTCCATCTCCCTTACTCTCCCTCCCTTGCAAAAGAGGAGCTTGTGAAGGTAGGTCTCGTAAGATGTGGAGAAGCCAGAAGCACCAGCCAAAAGAGACAAAACAATTTTTTAAAAAGGTCCGCTCATTCATCACAAAATGTGGAAAGAAAGGAATACTTCATATTATTTTGGAAAAATATTCTTCATTAATGCCCACTAAATATGATTGGGTAACAATTCTTATGGGAGGGAGAAGATGCAGAAGGAAATGCACAGCTTGAGGAAAATATTACCCTTTATACTATAGAAGTTAATTGTTAAATACTGGATTTCAGAACAGAAGAATCTGTTAATTTGGATAACAACAGAATAGAATTTTAAAATAAAAGTGCTATTGTATTTTTATAAAATAGACCCTAGAGACTACTTTGATTTTGGCTTTGGAAGCGTGAGAGTTGTTATTTGTTAGAATCTTCTGCCACTCCTGTTCATTCTGCAAAAATCAACTTACTCAACTACTTAATAATGTTGCAGTAGCAGCGTTAACAGCAGCGAGAAGAGAGAACGCACAAGGCCTTGCTGGCACAATCAAATACATAATCTGGTGCTAATATCAGGAGAACACAGCCAAAATTGAACAATGCTTCACAAACAAATGCGTAGGTTTAGTCCGAGTCCTTGGTACAGCATTTCTAGAAGGATGGTGGAGTTGTAATGGTAGCAAAATGAACAGCCTTTTCCACGAGGTACAGGAGACTGCCTAATGCTAAAGCACATTAGTACTCCTGTGGCTGGCACAGAAAGGATGCTTACTGGAAAATTCAACTAATTTCAAGGGCTTCCCACACTAATCCCACCAAAGCATAGGAAATTCACAGATTCTGTGAACAGAGTTTCTCCATCACCATCCTCTGCCAAAAAAAAAAAAAAAAAAGTCTCATCTTGCCCTACCCTGCTGGTCCTCTTGAGAGGTGGGAAGTGGCAGGGTTGTGGAGAAATGATTCAGCTGCATAGCAGGCAGAGGGCAGCTGAAATTTTCAACACACACAAAAATATTTAATATTCAGAAAGTTAAATTTTGAATTCTATTTGGTGTTTTTATATTCAAGGAACAAATCCTCTTTCCAGCGAATCTCTAAGAGTATCCCTCTCCTCACGCCTTCTTTTCCTATCAGCAGTAGGAGTAAATCCATACATTATAAGCTCTACTAATCCATTATTAGTTCCCACAGAATATATAGCATGGAATATAGATATGGAAAGAACACATTACAAAAAAGCCATACCATATTAAGCTCATTAGCTCGGAGCTGATCAGCACAAAGCTGGTCATCTTATTTTTCCTCCTGCTTAAAGATAGGATTTTAGCCCCTAGCCTTTATCCTTTCTGTACTTGCAAACAAAAAAAAAAATTATCTGAATCACAGAGTTGCAGAATCATATTGATTAGAAAAAGCCTCTAGAGTTCACCTAGCCCGGCTCCTGCTCCAAGTAGGCCCAACTGCTAAGTCAGACTAGGGTGCTCAGGGCCTAGTCCAGGTGAGCCTTAAAAAGCTCCAAAGACAGAGAGTCCACCATCTGTCTGGCCAACCTGTTCCAGTGCTTCCCCCATGAGTGCGTCCACATTCAAACAAAATGCCAGCTTGCTCTACAGGGGAATCCTATGTGGTTTGTTTTCATTTGATTTTCCTAAGTTGGTGTTACAAAAATTAAAGCTACCAAGAATGTTCATCAGGAGACTCATCCTGTAAAGTTTACAAATACAGAAATTCAAACAGCAAGAACAATCTATCTAGATGACCGTATTTTTAATATGAATTTCTAAGAGAATTTGCACACAACTAGAGTAAAACATTTTGTAATAAAAATAAGACTTCCTAGAAGCATCAGTTTTTAAGTGCGCTACTCCACCAACTCTGACACACAAGCTGAAGTCAGCACTAGGATCCAGAGTATTCCAGTATGCAGACCAGTATCTACTGGCTTCTCTCAAGTACCACTTAAATGTAGTTTCACCTGCCCGCTGCCAACATTTTTTCTCTCTAGCTCTGCTGCCCACCACATTATATGTGCCTGAAAAAAACTCTTTCCTTTTTTCGCTTGTGCCCTGTGTACATCCCACGTGCCAGTCACAAGCCTCGCTTCAACAGCCCCCAGGGAGCTGGCAAGCCAGGCAGAGTAAAACACAAACGTGACGCACTTTTTCTTTATCGCTGCTTTCTGCCAAGTTAGTACAGTAACATTGTGAAGGGAAAAGTGCAATGAAGGTTGGAGCAAACACAAGTAAAAGCAAGCGTGCAGACTAGGGCAGGATAATAGCAGGAAGCAATTAGATTAGACTGCCAGGTAACAAGTCTTAAATGCAGAGGAATGCCTAGTTTTGTGTTTTTCCTTTTGTTATGCCAAAGCTTGATGAGGCATAGTCTTACTGGGCATTAGGGATGGGCTTCGCTTCAGCTAGCTAACTGAGCACAGACAGTACTTCAGGTGAGGAAACTATGGCACCAACAACTTAAACATACCTAAATCACCATTAAGGTCTTTAATGGACTAGGCAGGTCTCCCATAGAGCACACGCATACAGTGCTATTTTTGGAGCTCCTGCCCAAAACCACTAAGTTTAGCAACTAAAAGAAAGTTAACAAAATAATAAATTCATCTGCTGGTAAAAAAAAAAGTATCTGGAAGGACAAACGTAAGCGTGTTTAAGTTTCACAAATCCCCAAGACTGAGAGGTCCTCTTAGTTCCACTGTAAAACTAGCCTGCACGTGCAGGACACCACAGGCAGCAAACCCAGCACGCTGGTTTACATTGGGACTACCTTACATATGAACAGTTACAGATTTCACAGGTGAGTCCACAGCTAATCAGAACCACTTCAGATGACAATCACTGATCTCTAAAATCTCCTGCTTCAGGTACTAAAGGGAAGTTTTTCCCCACAAAACCAAAATACCAAGTTGATATTATCTTCAGATATAAACTTAAACAGACAAGTTTTGATGTACAGTTTATTTCTACCACTGTGAGACCGAGGAACACGCTATTTTTCACAGCTTCTGTTCTCCAAAGAGTTGCATATAGCTGAAAAACCATTAGAATTTTTTTTTTTCAAATTTTTATTCAACAACCAGCTTACAGAAAATGAGCAGAATCAAACAAAAGCTAACATTAAATACTATACAAAGTATTAACATTGAGGAGCTAGTCCCCTAATACACTCACTTTCTACGTCCTCAGCCATCTGCACTGCAGCTCATACAGCAAAACAAAAACATCTGAAGGTTCTCTTGGCTGCAAGTCATGATGACACATGAGAACTGCAGCCCTTGACAGGCTCCTGCTCAGTAGAATTTAGCAAGATTAAAGCAGTCAATTGTTTGTCCTGTAATAAAAAAAGCAATTTACTAATGAAAAATAATGAAGTACAGTAAATTCATTTCTCTTAAAAACCAGATGAGCCTACAATCCTGGAGCACGCTTTTCAGAAGACAAAACCCATTATTTTCTGCTCTGGAAATGTGCTTTGTGGGAAAATCATCAAGCTCCTTCACAGTCCATCATTGCCATTTTTAGTATAGTTGTTATGAAGGCTTGGATTTCCCCCTCTCTTCAATCAATGTTTTTATGGAACTGACATTTTTAGAGTTATCAAAGGCCAACTTAAGGAGGAGGATCTTCTCCTCGAATAGCTTTATACTTTGCCATGTCTTCTGGGAACACCTTTGTCAGTTCTTGAATTAACAGACTTTTAAATTTCTGGAAAGAGAAAAAAAGTTATATGTACATAATCTGCACTGTTTATTTGGATTTCACCAAGCAATCTTATCTGATTAACAGAAAGGTTTATATACAACACAGTTCTACATTTCAGTGACCTATGAGAATAGTATCCAAAAAAAAATCTCCAAAACCACACACAAAAACCATAGAAATTTACATTTACAAAATACACAGAAAATGGTCAAGTGAAATGCGCTAGGAAAGCACCAGGAAAACTAAAATGCTTTTAATTTCCCACAGATTAACTAGCATTTGCACTTAAAAAAAAAATAGTAGTTGGACCTCTGTGGTACACTCTGGTACATCAATATCTGTCTGACCTTATTAATGCAAAGCTGATAAAGGACATGTCCTCTTGATTTGATATGGAATCGCCTCCAACTCCAAAAAGGAACTCCCACCTGGCTTAGAAATACGTAATCCTTCCTACAACTTTTACAAGCACAGAGCACATCTAAAGAAAGAGAAGCTTAGAACATATGGAGATATGTCTACGTTCTGCAGCATCCTACACATTAAGTTTGGGCAAGGAATGTTCTGAAACACAAAGATCACTTTCTCAAAACTCACTAAAATTCCTTTTCACATTTTATTTTTCAGGACTAATTCCAGCAGTTAAACAGTATAGTAGAATGCTTAGGTTTATACTAAATTAAAGTACAAGTTCAGAAAACCCTGAACACTGGCATATATTTTAAGTAATTTTATAAAGATTAATTCATGCTTATATAGCATGTTCGATATTTTAATACTCTAAGATCCATCCAAGACTGGAAAAAATACCCCTTCTGTTTTGCTTATTTCTAAACTTACACAAATCACAGTTACAGATCTGTAACACTGTGAGGTATTCATTAGAATTCAAAATGAAAACAACAACAGAGATCTATAATGCTACATGCACCTTTAGCCAAAATAAAATTATAGCAACATCTGCATCTCCAACTGAGGGCCACAAAGATGATCAGAGGGCTGGAGCACCTCTCCTGTGAGGACAGGCTGAGAGAGTTGGGGCTGTTCAGGCTGGAGAAGAGAAGGCTCTGGGGAGATCTAATTGCTGCCTTCCAGTACCTGAAGGGGGCCTACAAAAAAGCTGGAAAGGGACTGTTTACAAGGGCATGTAGTGATAGGACAAGCGGTAATAGGTTTAAACTAAAAGAGGGTAGATTTAGATTAGATGCTAGAAAGAAATTCTTTACTGTGAGGCTGGTGAGGTACTGGAACAGGTTGCCCAGAGAGGTTGTGGCTGCCCCCTCCCTGGAAGTGTTCAAGGCCAGGTTGGATGGGGCTTTGGGCAACCTGGTCTAGTGGAGGGTGTCCCTGCCCGTGGCAGGGGGGTTAGAACTAGATGATTTTTTAAGGTCCCTTCCAAACCCATTCTATCATTCTATGAATTGTGGGGTGAATTTTAAGTTTCTTTTCCAGAACACGCTGTATTAGCATCAGTTAAGATACAGGGATGCAGAGCAATCCCTAATGCAAATCACCTAATGTACTGGGTTTGCATGGCAAGGTTTAGGTAACAGGGGAGCTACAGGGGTGGCTTCTGCGAGAAGCTTCCCCTACGTTCAACAGACCCAATGCCAGACGGCTCCAAGACAGACCCGCCACTGGCCAAGGCCAAGCCAATCAGTGACAGTGATAGTGTCTCTGGGGTAACAGAGTTAAGAAGGAAAAAAAACCTAGTGGGAGCTTTTGAAGCCAGAGAGAGGAGTCAGAGTATGTGAGAAACTTTGCAGACAGCCAGGTCAATGAAGGAAGGGGAGGAGATGCTCCAGGTGCCAGAGCAGAGATTCCCCTGCCCATGGAAAAAACCATGGTGAGGCAGACTGTTCCCCTGCAGCCCATAGAGGTCCACGGTGGAGCAGATATCCACCTGCAGCCCTTGCAGGAACCCATGCCAGATCAGGTGGATGCCCAAAGGAGGCTGTGACCCTGTGGGAAGCCCGTGCTGGAGCAGGCTCCTGGCAGGACCTGTGGCCCCGTGGAAAGAGGAGCTAACGCCCGAGCAGGTTTGCTGGCAGGACTTGTGACCCCATGGGGGACCCAGGCTGGAGCCGGTTGTGACAAACTGCAGCCTGTGGGAGGGGCTCATGTTGGAGAAGTTGGTGGAGGACTGTCTCCCATGGGAGGGACCCCACACTGGAGCAGGGGAAGAACATGAGGAGTCCTTGCCCTGAGGATGAAGGAGTGGCAGAAACAACGTCTGATGAACTGACCACAACCCCCATTCCCCGTCCCCCTGTGCCACTGGAGGGGGGAGCAGGTAGAGAAATGGGGAGTGAAGTTAAGCCCGGGAAGAAAGGAGGGGTGGGGGAAAGATGTTTTAAGATTTGGTTTTATTTCTAATAGCTCTACTCTGTTTTACTTGATAATAAATTAGATTAATTTTTTTCTGAGTCTGTTTTGCCTGTGACAGTAATTGGTGAGTGATCTCTCCCTGTCCTTATCTCGACCCACGAGCCTTTTGTCTCCCCTGTTCCACTGAGGAGGGGAGTAATAGAGGAGTTTTGGTGGGCAGTCATCCTACCACACTTAGTAAGGTAATTTAATAACTGCACAAGTGAAAGCCCCCACTTATTTACAGGAAAGTAAAAATTTCTTAAATACATTACTACATTAGTACTTTCATTATTTCTGATTTACCTTCATTGTGTCAATTTTTCCTTTTACTTGCTCATTTTTAGCCAAAGCTCGTTCCAGACACTCTTTAGTGTAGAGTTGAGGATTGCGGCCTTGATCTATGTATCTGAAAACAGAAAAGATACTACCTAAACAGTCATGTTCCAACTAGGATGTTCTCCAAGGTACAGAACTATTCATCTGCTGTCTTTTTGTTACTACTGTCATCCGAAACGTGCATTAAAAAACCAAAACAGTTTAATGCAGCCATTTCAAAAAGACAGCTCAAGGAGGACTAGGCCATGGCCAGCAAACAGCTGTCTTGGTATACTGTTTTAAATCTTTGTTTCCAGAAAGCCTGGAGCTTATTAAAAGCAAACAAAAAATGTTACTCCCCAGCTCCTCAAAAGCAATAAGAATACATGAATGAAGAAAGATGGTCCTTTTCCAAGCAACTGATAGGGCACTAACCACAAAGTAGATTAGTTGTTACATGGTGAGCCATAAGCACGTAGGAATTAAGGCATCCAGCAATTCAAGGATGAATAGGAAATGTACATACCATAGTACAGAGCACAAAATTAACTCACCTGTATTTTTGCTTTGCAATGTAAGTGTCTGACAAAGGGAAATCCCATCATTGAATAACGAAAACGGAACATTTAAGATTATCATCATAGATTTACAGATAGAGTGAAAGCCCAACTGAAAAAGCCCTGCATAGCCCGTAATACACCAGAATACAGCAAACCAATGACATCTGGACTTACAAGAAACAATAGAAAATTAACTTGTCAGCTATATCATAAAAGCTGTCTTGTATAGCTCTCCCTCTACATTCATGATTTCACTTGTAATGATCTAATTCTCTGCCAACAAGAAGAATGCCACTATTGAAACTGAACACCTAAGTACTGGCCTAATTTATTTTCACCTGCAACTTTGCATTCTGATTCTAACCTAGCATAAAAGTGTATTTCCAAAATGAAACCTTACTTACTAGATCACTAGATTCGGCAGAATCTGTATTACTGCCTATGTATGTAAAGGCAATATAAATTAACAAAAGAAAAAAAAAAAAAAAGACCTGAAAGCGTATAATCTATCACTTCTCTTATCTCTCCACCCTCTCACAGGCAGAAGGTACTTCTTAACTTTTTCTGCCTGCGCACATTCTCCTGATGCATTCAGAAGATGGAGTTTAAAAAATAAGCAGTCCTCAGTGAAAATATCCACGCTGCAAAGACACGTCACCTCAAATCACACTGACCACAGCAGCGTCCCTTCCAGACACAAGGTTACTTACTCAAAGACTTCCAAGGGCACGCTGATATCGTGAAGCTGCTGCCGGCATTTGTCGATATCCTGCAAGCCCGTCACCATGAAATTCCTGTAAGAAGAAAATGGGTCGCTTTTAGCCAAAAACAGGCACACTGCGCTAACCCTGACCCCGGCTACCAGGCCAGCTACAAGAAACCCAGCGAAGGAGACTCCTTCAACGTTTCGCTACGGCGGAAGGGCGACAGATCCGCCGGCCAGGGCCTCCGGTACCCTGAGGCACCAGGCTGGGAGTGGGGGGCGGCGGTAAGGGCCCCACGACCTGGCAACGAAGAGAGATAGCGAAACAGCGAGCCCCTCACAATTTCTGGTTGAGACCAGTCTGACTGCTGGGCGGGAAGTCGCTGACGATAATGCCGAGCTGCCGGATATTCTCCACGAACTTCTCCAAGTGCTCCTCCAGAGAGTCGAACTTCTCCGCCATCGCCATAACAGCCATCTACTCCCCCCTCCCTACTTCCGGCCAGCGGCGC